CTGTCATTTTTATTGTCGCTTTCACTCTTTGGTCAGGATGACGCCGGGATGGAGCCGTAAGGAGATAGTGGTGGTAGACACAGAGACGTTCACAAATGTACAGAAATAATCGTGTTTATCTTTAAAAGAAAAATTCTTACAGTTATTCCAAGCGATACTCGAGCTGCATGAGAATCTCAGCCGAAGTCGATGATTCCGGTGCTCCGATGAAGAATCGTTCAGCGGGTGAAGTTTGGGAACAGATTTGGTGAATCTCCACACGTTGGATGAGTGCCAAGGATGTGGTCGATCTCCCGACGATGGCAAATAGAGAACGGGAAGTTTTGATCCGGAATGTGTGGATTACTCAGAGTAAACTGAGGATGTCTTAGGGTTGGATTGGCGGCACGGCAGTGATACACGGCGGCAGCCAACACACAGACTCCACGATGGATCAACGGCTCGATCGTCGACTTCAACGATATCGATGACTCAGGTTGTCGTTACCCTATAGTGATTTCTTTGATACTGGCGCCAACTCTCGACCTGCGATGGCGGCGATTTATGGCTTGACCTCAAAGTTCAGTTGCTTTTATGCGATTCGGACTCGAAATCCGTAATTTGGATTGATCAAGATCCGGTCCTTTCTTATTTTTTTATTGGCTGCCAGTTGTTGCTAGGGGCCAAGTTCAAGTCAGAGGAGATGAACGTCTCCTTCATTCCCTCGCCGGGCCATCACTCCCTCCAGACTTCACTTACGAATTCCGGGAGTGCTAGGTGATAGCCGGAATTAAGGATAATGCAAACTCCCTCGCGTAATGGCCCGTAATCTGAGAATAGAGATTTCTTAAAGTTTGAAAGTCGGGGCATTAGGACTGATTATCTACTGGCCGCGTAAAGTGCTTCTCGCCTCTTTTTTATCGTTTAGTTTAGCCGTAAATTGCAGGTTTTATGAATTTCGACTTATTCTTCGACCACTTTCTCTGCTTAAACTATCACCATGACATTGTCTCTCCCACTTACGATTTGACAAAATACATTAATTATATTTTCGAATATCGCGAAAAAGGAAAGACGAAAACATAAACAAGTGAGAAGGTTTCTGATGTCACAAGTATACCTTTATGGAACAAAGGAAGCGATGAGTCGACAAAATTTGGGAATTACTGATGTAAAGTATTTCGAGTATTTAAAACAGTTTTTATATTACTTAGTTTTAATTTGTCTTAAGATTTCTTTTAATCATAGAGAGAGAGCAATAACTATAATTGATATAATCAAGAGATTATGTGTAATTTTCTGGTCTGAATGTTTAAATTACGTAGTCTCGAGTTTTTCTTCTTTTTGTCTTATGAATTTAACATTATCTTATATTGATTTAAAGCAGAATTAAATCGGCAACAAGAATTTAAGTCATATCGTGGTATACCTGTTTATCACTCCATAAGTTTCTATATTATAATGAATTGATAACGTCAAAGCAACTTTTCTTTATTCATATTTGGTAAACTTGCGCAAGAATTTATATTATTTATATGTTATCGGCATCAATCTCGATTGATTTAAAAGAGAGTTTTTTCATTACAATGATATAAAACTAACGATAAATATTTTTATGGAAATTTCTTAATTAACGAATTTGAGGAAAATAAAATTTTTCGTGGACTGTGGTCATACTCTTTAGTCTGTGCCAGGAGAATAAGAAAGACAGTTAAATCCAACATGGCGTTGAGATGTTGCTAGTGTGTTATAAGAAGAATTCTATGTATATAAAATAATAACAAATGCTTAGTTAGGGCTTTACAAGTATAAAATGCATTTAGAGATAAACTTAGTTAATAAAGTCATGGATAAAATTAAAATGTTTTACAATTGCTTTGCATTGCCATTGTGAACCGTTCATACATATATATAGTCTGTTAATTTCATTTTCAAAATAATTAAGTCATTAAATATTACTCCTCGAAAAATTATACTTTACTGAAATTTCGAATAATGCCAATCGTTTACGTATACAACTGTGTTAAAGCTTATTTACAAAACAATTCAGGAGTAGAGCTCTTAATTCTAATTAAAATTTAGTTTTTGTGTATATAAAACACGAATTTATGTAAAGGTTCGGTTGGACTTCCAAAGCCGGAGGCGGTTGAAACAAAAGGACAGACGTGGAATAATAGAAAATCAACACAGAAGCTTCTAGGTCAGAAAGAGCGGACCACGTGCATGACCTCGAAAATAGAAGGACGGGACAAAGGAACTTTACATATATAGCGATATTTCCTTCTCGAAATTACATAAAATATTTACATTTATTAAATATAGACATGATAATTCATATGTTTATAAATTTCGTCATGAAAAACATTTTCTATTAATGCAGACTAATAAAAGATGAAAGTATTTCACACACGAGTACAAATATACACGACAACTAATGCGTGCTACTTTCTACTATATTATATTATTTTCGATTATCTTATCTATAAAATTGCAATACAGATGATATATGAAACTATAAATTACAATAAGGAAAAAATAACTTGAGTTTGTGCCATCAACATTTTTAACAATTAAATGATAATTTTCTTGAAATCCAACATAGAAAAGTTAATTATTACTGAAAAAATATTAAGAATACTGAAAAGAGCAGATGTTGAATTTTTTCATTTAATTTCATTCGTCTGTCTACTACTTATTTGAAAATTAATAATGCATGGGAATTTTTTCGATTAGAATTTCCCTCCGGGAAATAAAAACTTGCGTATTCATATTTTGTGAAGATTTATTACATGAGAAAAAAACTTGTTTTCGAAATCATTATCATAAACTGTGGTAACGACGTATTTCTCAAGAACATTTGTTATACGAGGAAATTGTCTATTGTGTTCATTTCATATTTTTCCAATACACATTACATTTTCTTGCGTCAATCGTAGAACTCTGCAGGTAAGACATTTTTACGACAAACTATTTGTATTCTTACATTATCAAATTGCTAATTAATGACTTTGTTTTCTTTCTGAATGACTCCCTTTTCTTCTCTGTATATTCAAAACAGCATACATTATAGTTTATTGGGGTAAAATACTTGAATTGCGTATCCCTCAATAAAAGAATATAACAATTTTTTAGTAAATGCACCCCTGCTCTGAAAATTAAGCTTTTTACAATAATTAAAAATATATAAAGTTTTTAATAATAAAACATTATAACAGATGACTTCACACCCGCAGTTTAAAATGTGTCGAAGAATTTAAGTAACTAGTTGTTGGTTTTATTTTACTTAAACCAGGGGGTTTAACTAAAATAAGATGAAGAATTCTAGAATGGAGAATTCTAGAGAACTCAAAACAAATTACAATTTTACATAAAAGTATATTATTTTAACACAGTGTAATTATATCTTATTCCATAATTATTTACGTATTAACACTGTAATGGCCATAAAAAATTTTGGGACAATTTAATACTTTTTCTATATTTTATATAAGGTAAAGCGAGAGAAGAGAACGCACATTACACATATAGCTATAATCTTAACTTTAATTGTCATCAACAATTTTATTATTATTTGTTTTATAAATAGCTTATTAAAAATATTGCGCTGACTGAATGAAAATTCAAACACTTAAAAATATGCTCTCTTCTACTCTCATCTTCCCTCGCATTCCCCTACTTCCCTAATACCTTATTTTAAAATATTACGTACAGTACATAATTTTATACGCAATTCTTATGTACGTAAAGTTCTAAGATGCAATAATAAGCAAATTCAAACTAGAGATTATGTTATTTAAAATCTCAGTAGAGGAAATTACACATAATCCTGCCGACTGGATCAAGTATAATTACTCATATCACTGTATGACAAAGACAAGTGAAGAAAGTAATATATAAACTGTTTTAAATAGTTAAAGTACTTTACATCAATTATATTTTCCTGTTTTTCTATCTATAAATGTTAACTATAAACAAATCTGGTATTTACGGAGGACCTACAATAGTGACTAACTTCTTGGTAAATAATTGCATACCTTATCTAGATTGTTTAATCTTCGTATGTTAAAACAGCAAAATATAGGCAATTTTATATTGTTTCTCGATAAAATATAGAACAACTTGTTTCCTTCTTAATAACCAAGTTTATAAAATATTGAAATTTCTCAAATTTTAGAAGTTGCAATTCTATTTTTGTTTATATTTTTAAAATAAATGTGAAGAAATATTTATTAACGTTCCTCTTGACGTTTCACGATAAATCAGAAACGATTTTTAATAACTTTAATTACTTTATTTATAAAATTCGTTTGAACAAGCTGGAAGTTTAGAACTGTATTCGTGCCATAATATCTATAAAACAACAATCTTTTATAAAAATCCATGAACTAGTTGCTTAACTTTCCCGAAAACATTTAAAACTGTGTGTGTAGCGCTATCTGTTGTGATATTTTAATATTAAACATATTAATATTTTTATTTTTAAAGTTTTATATTTTTATATTTTTAAAGAGTAATTATTTATTGTGATATCGTCATAATGCCGAGATGCAAGTTTTAATCATATTTTTAATTTATATAATTTAAAATATACGCTTTCCACCTGAAATTAGTAGTGTGTTGCCCTGTACTGTATTGTACATCATAATTTTCCTTTAACAATTCCGGTCATTTCAAGTGCTTTCAAGGGAAACGATTTGAATCAAAATAATGCGACTTTGGATTTGCATTGAAGTTCTTATATAGTTGATCGGGGCCTCCAGCCCCTAAAGATTCCGAATATGGTTTCATCTTTCATCCATCTAATTAGATTCTCGAGATTAAAAAAAAAAAACAGGCAGACGGACAACGAACGAGATTTGGAATTTATGAGTCTACACAGTAAAGCAATTACCTCCTTCATTATTGCCAGAGACGTGTGCTTAAATTGCAAACAGCGATTAGTCCCATGTTAAGTGACCGAATAACGTTATAAAAATCAAATAAAAATTCACTAATTTTTCTTACTGTTTTTTAGAAAAAGAATGAAGAAGACTTTAGACTCTTATTTATCTTCTTGGTTTTCACGAATCGGCAAATTTGTCGGTGAATATCCTCAACATTGCATCGCTGCCACGTTCTTAGTTACACTAATTTTAGGATCCGGATTTCTCAAACTTACCATGATACAGGATTTCGAATATCTGTACAGTCCGAGAAACGCGAGAGTTTTGGAAGATAGAAAATCCATCGAGAATCTGTTTTCTAACGGCGACGGAGCCGAAGATAGATTAATTAGAAGTTCCACATACGAAAATTTAATTTCGGTCATTGCCTCGGCGAAGAACAACGGTTCCATTATGAACACCTCTTCGATAGAAGATGTAATCCAGATGGATGTTATCATTCGCAACATCAGCATCTTTNGTCAGAAAGAGCGGACCACGTGCATGACCTCGAAAATAGAAGGACGGGACAAAGGAACTTTACATATATAGCGATATTTCCTTCTCGAAATTACATAAAATATTTACATTTATTAAATATAGACATGATAATTCATATGTTTATAAATTTCGTCATGAAAAACATTTTCTATTAATGCAGACTAATAAAAGATGAAAGTATTTCACACACGAGTACAAATATACACGACAACTAATGCGTGCTACTTTCTACTATATTATATTATTTTCGATTTTCTTATCTATAAAATTGCAATACAGATGATATATGAAACTATAAATTACAATAAGGAAAAAATAACTTGAGTTTGTGCCATCAACATTTTTAACAATTAAATGATAATTTTCTTGAAATCGAACATAGAAAAGTTAATTATTACTGAAAAAATATTAAGAATACTGAAAAGAGCAGTTGTTGAATTTTTTCATTTAATTTCTTTCGTCTGTCTACTACTTATTTGAAAATTAATAATGCATGGGATTTTTTTCGATTAGAATTTCCCTCCGGGAAATAAAAACTTGCGTATTCATATTTTGTGAAGATTTATTACCTGGGAAAAAAGCTCGTTTTCGAAATCATTATCATAAACTGTGGTAACGACGTATTTCTCAAGAACATTTGTTATACGAGGAAATTGTCTATTGTGTTCATTTCATATTTTTCCAATACACATTACATTTTCTTGCGTCAATCGTAGAACTCTGCAGGTAAGACATTTTTACGACAAACTATTTGTATTCTTACATTATCAAATTGCTAATTAATGACTTTGTTTTCTTTCTGAATGACTCCCTTTTCTTCTCTGTATATTCAAAACAGCATACATTATAGTTTATTGGGGTAAAATACTTGAATTGCGTATCCCTCAATAAAAGAATATAACAATTTTTTAGTAAATGCACCCCTGCTCTGAAAATTAAGCTTTTTACAATAATTAAAAATATATAAAGTTTTTAATAATAAAACATTATAACAGATGACTTCACACCCGCAGTTTAAAATGTGTCGAAGAATTTAAGTAACTAGTTGTTGGTTTTATTTTACTTAAACCAGGGGGTTTAACTAAAATAAGATGAAGAATTCTAGAATGGAGAATTCTAGAGAACTCAAAACAAATTACAATTTTACATAAAAGTATATTATTTTAACACAGTGTAATTATATCTTATTCCATAATTATTTACGTATTAACACTGTAATGGCCATAAAAAATTTTGGGACAATTTAATACTTTTTCTATATTTTATATAAGGTAAAGCGAGAGAAGAGAACGCACATTACACATATAGCTATAATCTTAACTTTAATTGTCATCAACAATTTTATTATTATTTGTTTTATAAATAGCTTATTAAAAATATTGCGCTGACTGAATGAAAATTCAAACACTTAAAAATATGCTCTCTTCTACTCTCATCTTCCCTCGCATTCCCCTACTTCCCTAATACCTTATTTTAAAATATTACGTACAGTACATAATTTTATACGCAATTCTTATGTACGTAAAGTTCTAAGATGCAATAATAAGCAAATTCAAACTAGAGATTATGTTATTTAAAATCTCAGTAGAGGAAATTACACATAATCCTGCCGACTGGATCAAGTATAATTACTCATATCACTGTATGACAAAGACAAGTGAAGAAAGTAATATATAAACTGTTTTAAATAGTTAAAGTACTTTACATCAATTATATTTTCCTGTTTTTCTATCTATAAATGTTAACTATAAACAAATCTGGTATTTACGGAGGACCTACAATAGTGACTAACTTCTTGGTAAATAATTGCATACCTTATCTAGATTGTTTAATCTTCGTATGTTAAAACAGCAAAATATAGGCAATTTTATATTGTTTCTCGATAAAATATAGAACAACTTGTTTCCTTCTTAATAACCAAGTTTATAAAATATTGAAATTTCTCAAATTTTAGAAGTTGCAATTCTATTTTTGTTTATATTTTTAAAATAAATGTGAAGAAATATTTATTAACGTTCCTCTTGACGTTTCACGATAAATCAGAAACGATTTTTAATAACTTTAATTACTTTATTTATAAAATTCGTTTGAACAAGCTGGAAGTTTAGAACTGTATTCGTGCCATAATATCTATAAAACAACAATCTTTTATAAAAATCCATGAACTAGTTGCTTAACTTTCCCGAAAACATTTAAAACTGTGTGTGTAGCGCTATCTGTTGTGATATTTTAATATTAAACATATTAATATTTTTATTTTTAAAGTTTTATATTTTTATATTTTTAAAGAGTAATTATTTATTGTGATATCGTCATAATGCAGAGATGCAAGTTTTAATCATATTTTTAATTTATATAATTTAAAATATACGCTTTCCACCTGAAATTAGTAGTGTGTTGCCCTGTACTGTATTGTACATCATAATTTTCCTTTAACAATTCCGGTCATTTCAAGTGCTTTCAAGGGAAACGATTTGAATCAAAATAATGCGACTTTGGATTTGCATTGAAGTTCTTATATAGTTGATCGGGGCCTCCAGCCCCTAAAGATTCCGAATATGGTTTCATCTTTCATCCATCTAATTAGATTCTCGAGATTAAAAAAAAAAAAACAGGCAGACGGACAACGAACGAGATTTGGAATTTATGAGTCTACACAGTAAAGCAATTACCTCCTTCATTATTGCCAGAGACGTGTGCTTAAATTGCAAACAGCGATTAGTCCCATGTTAAGTGACCGAATAACGTTATAAAAATCAAATAAAAATTCACTAATTTTTCTTACTGTTTTTTAGAAAAAGAATGAAGAAGACTTTAGACTCTTATTTATCTTCTTGGTTTTCACGAATCGGCAAATTTGTCGGTGAATATCCTCAACATTGCATCGCTGCCACGTTCTTAGTTACACTGATTTTAGGATCCGGATTTCTCAAACTTACCATGATACAGGATTTCGAATATCTGTACAGTCCGAGAAACGCGAGAGTTTTGGAAGATAGAAAATCCATCGAGAATCTGTTTTCTAACGGCGACGGAGCCGAAGATAGATTAATTAGAAGTTCCACATACGAAAATTTAATTTCGGTCATTGCCTCGGCGAAGAACAACGGTTCCATTATGAACAACTCTTCGATAGAAGATGTAATCCAGATGGATGTTATCATTCGCAACATCAGCATCTTTTGGAATAAAAAATTCTACAGTTACCGAGATATTTGTATGAAGAATGATCGTAACGAATGCTCGGAGAATTTTGTTTCTTCTTTGAAATACATGATAAAACATCCTGGAAAGGTTTCCATGAGGTAAGACTATCTTTGTAAAGAATTATTTGTAATTACATCAAAATTTGCAATTTCGAATATGTTTAGCCATTTTATCGTTAGGATTGAAGTGATGGGATAAGTTACTGCAACACATGCGAGATCTTCTACGGAAAGATCTTCGTACTGTTTTCTGCGGTACGTTTGTGGCAAACTGCCACTTATTTACGTCTTAGACATGTAAGATAAATCGAGAAAACTGTTCGCAGCCGTCTGTGGTTCAGACGCGAACTAGTGTACAATGGTTGCATCTACTTCGCCATTGGCGAGGAAAAAGTGAACAAAAAATATCTAATTTTATTTATCTTTGTGATTCTGTGAGCGAATATAAAAAGTTCTGCTTTTTTGTGTTAGAGAGAATAGTGACAATTACCTTATTTTTACTATCCTCTTAATGTTCGGAAAATTTGCACAAAGAGGAAATATCGTTTGCCTGGTCAGATGAATAATTTCAATACACATCCTTTGTTATGTTGGTACTACAGAATCGAACATGTACAGTACGTTTGTAAGTATTCCGTTATTTTTATTATGACTTTTACGTAAAAGTAATAATAAATACAATAAATACATCATGTCTTTTCGTCTAGAGCAGGGTGTCCAATCCTCGGCCGGTTGGCCGCATGCGGCCCAAGGCAAGTTCCAATGCGCCCCAATGAACGTGTAAACAAAACCGACAAATGCTTTAATTTTTTCATTATTTATTTATTTCAACGGCATAAACTCAAAAAAAAAAGTTTCACAAAGCCGTAAATTTTTATTCATATTTTATTTTTGAATTCGAAGAAAATATTTTCAAATACTTGGAGATGTGTGAATGCGGAAGGATTACTAAATGAAGCTGGAGTTGTGACTCAAAGGATTATAGACCCAAATTTGGGGAAAGGAAAGAAAGGACAAAAAATAAAAAGTAGTGAGGAAGGTTAAATAGATCTTCTGTTATGCAAATATTGACCCATAATTTTCCAACCTTCCTCACTTCTTTATCTTTTGTCCTTTCTCTCCTTTCCCCGCATTTGGATCTATAATCCTTTGAGTCACAACTCCAGCTTTATTTAGTATTCCTTCCAGCGTTGCAAGATATGGCTACATTGCGCCAAATGTGGCTACATTTTTTAGTTTGAGGTAAAAATATCATTTGGCGCTTTCGCTACCTTTTGGACTTCATATTATCTACATAAATAAAATTGTAATGTTCGTTTGTTCAAAATCTTAAATCTCCGAAAGTTCTTCACCGATTACTTTCAAATTATGACACAACGTTGTATTAAAATTCGCGCGTTTTCATATTATATAGATGTCGAAATCCCCCCTCCCGCAGGGAGAGAGACAGGATAAGGCTTACAACGAAAACTCAGCTTCTATTATACTATTTTAAATGCGTTTATTTGCGTTTTTGATTGCGTTATAATCGAGTACGTCACGAAAACGCACACTAAGAACAGATTTTTCGAAATTCCCCCCCGGGGGAGTGAGACAGGATTAAGTTTTTGACAATGGAAGTGTTAAGTAAAAGCAACATGCAAGATTTACAGGCGCAAATGCAGTATTTTCGTTTTTGCGGGAAAATCGAACATTTTTTTAACCCATCTAAAAATTCTCTAATTAGTCTGAAACAGTGGAACCTGATTCTTGCATTCTTTCAAAACGGGTAAGATTGACTATAACGTACCCTAACTGTGTACAAAATTTCAACTTTCAACTCCTAACAGTTTGGGCTCTGCGCTTATTATTATTATCTTGGGTTTAGTGGATTATACTCGGTTCACACCAATGGCTGTGTACTATGCCGGACCAGAGTCAAGGCATAGCACCAAAAACTAAAATTAAATAAGTGTGTTAGTGTCTGTATTCAGGAATTTCCTAACAATGTGGCATGTATTCAATATAGTGGCCTTCTGTAGTGTTATGTATGTATTTCTATTCAATTGTAATGTTCCCAGGCTTTTGTGTAGTGTGTGTGGTATCACACCTGTACAGGAGAGAAAGACAGGTACAATAAGCACCCTATCCATCCTCCTCAGATGACTTATTTCCTGGACGAGTTCTGTGTACTTGCTAATTTTTTCAGTGCATGTGTTTTGTACATTGTGAGTGTTTGGAATGGCTATGTCTATAATGTATGTGATTTTATTGTGTTTGTCAATG